CCTGCCCTCAGGGGCTTTGGAGAATAGCTTGACTGCCTCTTCTTTGGGGCAGCCCCTGAGATATTGGAAGACTGCTATCATGTCTAGTCCTTCTTTTCATTAAATCAATGGAACAGCTTGCCTCCTGCAGTTTTGGCTGCTCCATCACTGGAGGTCTTCAAGAAAAGATTCGTGTGGGACCTCGGTGCCTTCCGCCGTGCCCTTAAAACCTTCTTTTTCCAACAAGCCGGGCTGGCCTAACACTTTTTAAAATGTTTTTAATTGTCTGTTATTGTTTTTAATCATGGGGCCAAATTTATATATATCTTTTTAATTGTATTTTAATGTTTGTATTTGATGTTTTTACTTGGCTGTTCACCGCCCTGAGTCCTCAGGGAGAAGGGCGGTATACAAATTTTAAAATAAATAAATAAATAAATAAATAAATGTGGTGCCTTGAGCAAGAGGTTGGACTAGAAGACCTCCAAGGTCCCTTCCAACGCTATCATTCCAGGAAATACAAACCGTAACAAATGCAAATGGAACAGTGGCTTGTAAACCACAATTGGTGGCTTAACGCCCGTTATTCCGTAGACGGTGGGCCAGAGCAAACCGCAGCTCGGGTCTGGTTTATGAATCAGGCGTGTTGCTAAACGTTGCAGGCCGCCGATTTCCATAGGCATCCACACACCCTCGAAGGCATTAGCCACGCCGAGTGAATCTATACAAAACGTGAACGTTACCAATACGGAGATAAGATGCACCGACTCAGAAAATTAGAGACGGGAGGTTGCACGACCTCATACAAGCCAGAAGAGATTAGATTTTTTTTTTTTTTACCTTTCTCATTTCATTTTTTCTTTCTCCTTAAACTATAACTTTTATGTAAAAGAAAAAGAAAAAAAAGGCAGATCTGTATCTTAAGGCTGCTTCGTTGTTTAACAACACAGGTGCCTTCAAAACACCCACGATGGAGTAGGAAGGGGACGTCCAATCACACGGACCACGGGTTTCAAATTTTGCATCTCCCGCTTTTCATTTTTCTGGGCTGCGGGGAAACAACCCCGTTTCGAATTTAGGAATGCAGGAGGTGGGTCCTTGACTTACAACACAGTTCGTTTAGTGACCGACGCTACAAAGGCACTGTGAAAAGGGGAGCGGTGGCCATTTTTCACACCTATGACCGTTGCAACGTTCTCACCGATCAAAATTCAGATGCTTGGCAAGCTGGCTCAGATTTATGACGGTTTGCACTGACCTGGGGGTTGTGTGAGTCCCCTTTTGTGACAAGCAATTGGGGAAGCCCAGGTTCACTTCACTAACTGTGTTACTTATTTAACAACTGCAGCGGTTCACTAAAATGGGGGCAAAACTCAACAACAATCTCGCTTACCGTGTTTCCCTGAAAATAAGACCAGGTCTTATATTAATTTTTGCTCCAAAAGACGGATTAGGCCTTATTTTCTGGTTAGGTCTTATTTTCGGGGAAATACGGTACTAAATGCATCCATCTGGCTGACAACTGGGGCTTATTTTTGGGGATAGCTAGACTTATATTACGAGCATCCTCAAAAATCATGCTAGGGCTTATTTTCCGGTTGGGTCTTATTTTCGGGGAAACAGGGTAGCAGCAGAAAACGTTGGGCTCAGTTGTGGTCGTAAGTCGAGAACTGCCTGAAAGTTGGATGCTTTGGAAGACCAGAAGTGAACGGAGAAAGAAAATTGAGGCGAATGGAAGTTAGGAAATACCTAAAAGGAAAACCAGCTATGTCTGCAGGTGTCCCAACCAGCAGCCCACTGAAATAACTTTTAAAACGTAAAAATAATCTCTGTTGCTAACTCGGGAGGGGGCTATTCTTTTCTCTCTCCGCCCTCCCCCCCCCATAAAGTTGAATCCAAATGGTTTTCTAATGGGGTATCAATGCCTTCCATTTATCCCAGACGAGAGGGATTGCAAAATCATCTTTAAAAAGGGGCGATGGAAGAAGGGGAGAGGAATGAGGGGGTGGGAGTGGAGGAAAGAATAGGGGCCAAGTGGGGGGGGGGGGAAATTGGAAGTAAATGGTCCATGAATTAAACTATGATGCACAGCTATCAATGCCGCAAATGGTTTATTCATCCAGGTTGATATTGTTGTGGCTGAGACTGAATGAAGTCTTTTCAGGGTGCCCAGATGAAGTTAAAGCAAGTAAATTTCTGTCTTTCTCGACATTAGCTGCCTCATTGCTCCTCAATCAGGCCTCACAGAGGCAGAAAATAGCTCAACCATCTGTTTTCAAATCCCTCGACTGGCAGGACTCTCGTGGGGAGGGAGGGCGCGCCGAGGGAGAGGGGAGGGAGAGATTTGGGGGGACGACCTGGGGCAGCCGAGAAGCAGTTTTCCCACCTTGGGAAAAATCCAGTGGCCCCCATGGCCGGGGGACAAAATTGCAGGGGAAAGGGCCTTGGAAGGAAGGAAGGAAGGAAGGAAGGAAGGAAGGAAGGAAGGAAGGAGAGTGGGGTAGAGAGAAGGAAGGAAGGAGGGAGGGAGGGAAGGAAGGAAGGAGAGAAAGGGTAGAGAAAAGGGAGGGAGGAAGGAAGGAAGGAAGAAGAGAGTGGGTAGAGTGAAGGAGGGAGGGAGGGAGGGAAGGAAGGAAGGAAGGAAGGAAGGAAGGAAGGAATAGAGGAAGGAGATCAGAAGAAGAGGAAGGAAAGAAGGGAGGGAGGGAGGAAGAAAAAGATGAGAGAAGTAATGGAGGAGATTCAAAGAGGAAGGAAGGAAGGAAGGAAGGAAGGAAGGAAGGAAGGAAGGAAGGAAAGAAGGATATGGAGAAAGGTCAATGTAACCTCTAATCTAATATCATTTCTGGAGGAAGAATGATATTGGACCAAGAATATTCTCCATGCACTGATCCAATCATCAAATTATTTTGACTGAGAAGAAGACCTCTGCCCTGGGACCTCCAAGTCAAGAGCATCTCCTTCTGGGACATGACAAGATGCTGATGTTCACCACCTCAGCCATTCCCCCTCTCCCCAACCTTACCCCAAACTGTCCAAGCCCAGGGTGAAGAAGCCAGCTCACTTGGAAACCAGGAGTTTGGAACGTTTCAACCAGAGAGGACCCGAATTGAGACACCATCAAAGTCAAAATGAATTTATGGACCACAACCTACAAGACCGACTCTGATTTAGGATTTCCTTGGGAGACTTTGGGCCCATCGATCTCTCCCAAGGAAGGCACCGAGAGACCCGCGGGAGGAAAAGTTTTCTCGAATTCGCTTCTCCTGACCTGTCTGCCTACCCCCAACCTCGGCGTCTGATTGTCTAATTAGCGTTGATGGATGGTTTAAGTAGCTCCCCTGGCAGAGTGACTCCATCGGAGCATGAAGTGGAAGGAGAGAGACACAGCCAGCAGGCAACACAACCCTTCTTCCCCATTAAGACGTCACAAAAAATAGCACCCAGTTGGTACACAATGAGAAAATGAGTGGGGCACGGCACCGTCTTCCATTCTGCCCAAGAAAATTTGGATGCCTTCACACAACCAGCTGCCCCTGGGTTACCAAATTGGTGCTGGAGAAAACTCCCGCGAGTCCCTTGGACTGCAAGGCCATCCAACCGGTCAGTCCTAGAGGAGATCAACCCTGACTGCTCTCTAGAAGGCCAGATCCTGAAGATGAAACTCAAAATACTTTGGATACCTAATGAGAAGGAAGGACTCCCTGGAGAAGAGCCTAAGGCTGGGAACGATGGAGGGCAAAAGAAGAAGGGGACGGCAGAGAAGGAGGTGGCTGGATGGAGTCCCTGAAGCAGTCGGCCGTGAGCTTCAATGGACTCCAGAGGATGGTAGAGGACAGGGAGGCCTGGAGGAACGTTGTCCATGGGGTCGCGATGGGTTGGACACGACCCATCGCGACTAACAACAACAACTGAGTTGAAGCAATGGATCCAATTCTGCGCTCACCAGAAGGTTCACGGTCAAGGAAAAAGTTGACCAAGGGTTAAATTCTGGACAGACATTCTTCATTCTACTAGCTTGACTTTGAGAGGAGTTTTCATAGTTTTGGAGGTCCACCTTCGTTGGACTCCAGATCTACAGGGACAATAATCATTGACCACGGGAATGGATTTTCCACACTCTAGTCTTCAATACTAGAAAAAAAAAAAATCTAATTTTGCCCCAAATTTGGTTTGAATACCAGCTGCTCCTTGCAACATCTAAAGAAGTTTCTTCCAGACTCACATTTATGACGGTTGTAGCATCCTGCAATCCCCTTTTGTGGCCTTCTGACAAGTCAAGTCAAGTCAGATTCACTTAACAACTAATTAGTTGTTACTAATTTAACAACCGCCGTGATTTGCTTACCGACTATGGCAAAAAAGGTCATAAAATGGGGCAAGACTCGTTTAACAAATGTCACACTTAACAACATGGGTTTGGGGTTAATTGTGGTCGTAAGTTGAGGACTACCTGTATAAAGTGGTATCATAACTTCTCGTGATCTTGATGCTATCCCTTTGTTGATTATTAGCGAGATGACTTTTAACAACATGACCTTTCGTTACCCCAACTTAAACTGTTGATTTATCTTCACTAATATTGTTGTTTTTGGTTGGGTTAGGCTCACACCAAAGTCAACATCTGCTTTGCCTTCTCACATGATGCGAGATTGACCCAATGGGGTTTATTTATTAAACCATGCAGGGGTGAAATCCAGCAGGTTCTGACAGGTTCTGGAGAACCGGTAGCGGAAATTTTGAGTAGTTCGGAAAACAGGCAAATGCCACCTCTGGCTGGCCCCAGGAGTGGGGAGGGAATGGGGATTTTGCAACATCCTTCCCCAGGAGTGAGGAGGGAATGGGGATTTTGCAGTATCCTTCCCCTGCCACGCCCACCAAGCCACGCCCACAGAACCAGTAGGGAAAAATCTTGAATTTCACCCCTGAAACCATGGTTAAGGCAACTCTGGGGCAGGAAAATATGATGGGACTGGAGAAGATCCCCAGATATTTCTCCAAGCCATCTCTGGTCCTCTTACCTTAGGGTTCTCCAAAATACCACCTTCATAGCTTCGGAGGACGAAGATCCAAGCAGAAAGAAGAAGAAGGAAAAAAAAAAAGACCAACATATAATTGAGTCATTAGCATAACGAGAAAACTTGATGGTGGGAGTGGGGCAGGCCATCCTCAGCTGGGAAAGTCTCAATGACAGCTAACTCTCCCACCAATAGGTTAAACCTGGGGCCTCAATCCTACAGGTGTCCTCCCTGCCCCTCACCTGATATGCATAAGGTTTTCGTCCATACTCCAAGGATTAGATGGTGTAACCGGAACTGGAATTCCATGGTCCTGAAACGACACGGAGAGATTTAATGAAATTGAATGAAAAGAAGGACTAGGGTTGACATGATGGCGGTCTTGCAATATTTGAGGACTGCCACAAAAAAGAGGAGGGGTAAACCTATTGGAAGTACCTGAAGGGAGAAAAAGAAGAGAGGAGGAGGAGAAGGAGAAGGAGAAGGAGAAATAATAGAAGGAGAAGAAGAAATAATAGAAGGAGAAGAAGAAGAAGGAGAAGGAGAAGGAGAAGGAGAAGGAGAAGGAGAAGGAGAAGAAGAAGAAGAAGAAGAAGAAGAAGAAGAAGAAGAAGAAGAAGAAGAAGAAGAAGAAGAAGAAGAAGAAGAAGATCATCTACCTGTACTTTTGGTTCCATCTCTGCCTGCTTCCTTCAAGCGCATGCATTTGGCGATCCTTTCCACACCCACCTTGTCCTCTCTTCCCCTTCCTTCCTCTCCCCCCCTCCCTCATATAGAGACAGTCATAAACCCAAGATCTCTTACAAGGTCACTCCACCAGTCAATTAGCTGGAGATGTTTCTCCAAGTGAAATGGTCTGTGAAAAAAAAAAAGAACTAAGCACCGGGCAGAGAAATTAGCAGGAGCAGCAGCAGCAATAACAACGACAGGCTAAGCTTGTCAAGCAAGGGAAACAGCAGGACGTTTCTCCAAGAGATGCTCAGCTGGGATTTGCTAAAGGAAAGCCAAGCGCTTCAACTGTTTCGTCCAGATTTCATTTTCGGGTTGACCCCGTTCAAGCTGTCGTAGGATATACTCCCACTTGGGAAAAAATCTCCTTCCTTGAAGGTTCTGTTGTGGGTTGGTTTGACTGTGTCCTTTTGTCACAGTAGGCTAGTTGGCACACACCGGGGAGCCATCCACGCTCCGTGGTGCCCCGAAGGGGAGGAGATACTAGTCTCACTTCCACTGCCAAGTTGCTCTTCTTTTTGTTGCTGCTTTAGCTTTGAAGAGCTTATTAGTCAATTAAACTTCTTCTTTGTTTTCTCCTGAATGGGCTACCCTGAGCTACGCAGGCAGGTGGACTGGGGAGGCCAACCCGCCCTCTTATGGGGACCCCCACCACTTCCCTGGGCCCACCCTAGAGACTACATGTACACTTGGCAAACTCCGTTGGAAACACACTACAAAGTTTCTTCTGGTTTGCAGAAGGAGGCGTCCTTCTCGCTTGGGTGTATCTCAACCTGGACCACTTGAAGGTGGGTGGACTTCAACTCCCAGAATCCCCCAGCCAGCCTGCTTTACAAGGTGTGGACTCTCAGAATTCCCAGCATGCCATTTTCAAGTTGCCCATGATTGAGACATTCTTACTGATATGATTAGGGATGGCAGCTGCAGAATTCTCACACCAATCACGAGGATAATCTGTATAAAATTGGCAGGAAATGTTTATGACTAAGTCAACAGGCAATGATGAAAGCATATTAATTGCAAGAAACAAACCAGCAGAGGAAGGGGAGGAGGAGGAGGAGGAGGAGGAGGAGGAGGAGGAGAAGGGGAGGAGGAGAAGGAGAAGGAGAAGGAGAAGAGGAAGGGGAAGAGGAGGAGGAGAAGGAGGAGGAGAAGGAGAAGGAGGAGGAGGAAGAGGAGGAGGAAGAGGAGGAGGAGGAGGAGGAGGAGAAGAAGAAGAAGAAGAAGAGGAAGAAGAAGAAGAAGAAGAAGAAGAAGAAGAGGAAGAAGAGGAAAGAGGAGGAAGAAGAAGAAGAAGAAGAAGAAGAAGAAGAAGAAGAAGAAGAAGAAGAAGAAGAAGAAGAAGAAGAAGAAGAAGAAGAAGAAGAAACATCCACATTCAAGATGTTTTCCTGCTTCCTAGGCCATTGGAGAAAATAAAGTAAGAAAAATAAAATAACACAATACAATACAATAGAATACAATGAGGTGGGAAAATGTGCATCTGGAGTCCAGTTGGCTCCGATCCTTGAGAGAACAATTCTGCTTGCAACTGTTTGTGAGTTGCAAAATCCCTGCAACATTCTCAGGTGCTCCTTAGAATCTAGGAACAATATTTGGCCACTGAATGGAGGGGCAAACGTGTGTTTCGTCCATTCAGTGGTCCCTCTCTCACACTCCCTCCCTCCCTCTCACACAAACACAAGCATTGAAAAGTCCCCCAAAAGTCCTTTTAATTGCTTTACTCCTTCCTTAAAGCCTTTTTCAGCAAAGACAGGGAGAACCAGGAATAAAAGGGGGGGTGGGGGAAGGAAAGAAAGAAAGAAAGAAAACCTGACCACGCTCAGTTTTCCATATAATACGCGCCCTAATTAAAAACACGCGTACACCCCTGTCTTAACAACTCGCCTACTTGACAATTTGTTTGGCAACATATGGGGGACTCTTGTAAATTTCCCCCTTGAGGCAATAAATAACAGATGGCAGGAAAAATAAATGGGGTGGGGGGAGAGAAAGAAACCAGCATCCTTGAAATACACGTGTTTTTCAAGTTCACAGTGGATGGATGGACATGTTTGCAAATGTTTTGCAAATACAAAATAAATAAATAAAAAGCAAAAAAAGGCTGTCTTTTTGGTATTTTGTTTTGTTTTCCTCCTGCACCCAGCTTTCAATTTCGGGACCTTGGAAATCATTTACTCTGTTTTAGATAGCAAGGGGGGGGGGGAAATATAGATAGAAAGATAGAAAGAGACATGGGACTTCAAGCAATTTTCTGGTTTGTACACAAAACGGTTCTTTTCTTTTTGATTGATTGAACACAGTTGTCAAACGTTCGTGGAGAAGAAAAGGGCCCCTGGGGAGGGAGTGATGCAGAAGTCCTCATCTGTTTTATTGTGACTTGTCCTGGAGAGGAGGAGGAGGAAGGAGGGAAGGAAGGAGAGGAGAGGAGAGGAGAGGAGGAGGAAAGGAAAAATGGAAGGGAGGGAGGGAGGGAGGAAGGAAGGAAGAGAAAGAAGGAAAGGGAGGAGGAGGAAAAGAAGGGAGGGAGGGAGGAAAAAGGAGGAAGAGAAGGAAAGGGAGGGAGGGAGGAAGGAAGGAAGGGGAGGAGGAAAGGAAGGGTGGAAGGGAGGGAGGGAAGGAAGGAAAGGGAGGAGGAGAAAGAAAGGGTGGAAGGCAGGGAGAGAGAAAGAAAGGGAGGGAGGGAGGGAGGAAGAGAAGGAAAGAGGAGGAGAAGGAAAGGGAGGAGGAGGAAAGAAGGAGGGAGGGAGGAAAAAGGGGAGGAAGGGAGGAAGAGAAGGAAAGGGAGGGAGGAAGGAAGGAAGGGGAGGAAACGGGAGGAGGAAAGGAAGGTGGAAGGAAGGAAGAGAAGGAAGAAAAGGGGGGGAGGAAAAGAAGGGAGGGAGGGAGAGAGGGAGGAAGGAAGGAAGGAAGAAGAGGTGCCAATGTAACTTTGAACAATCGCTAAATGGCCAGTCGTAAGTCAAGGACTCCTTGGAAAGCCAACCATCAAATGCAAAGAACAATTCTAGGAAACAGTTACGATGCCGGGACAAAGGCCGTGATGGCTACCAGCTTGTGGTCTACGAAGAATGGGTGGAACCAGAAAGCATGGGGGGGGGAAACAAAGAAAGGATTACAATTCTGGTACCTTGGCATATTCCATGAGGTCACTCCGTCCTCGGAAGCGGGTATAAAACTCGGGCATTCTCCAGGGCGCAATGATCTGCAGATACCATGGAAATAAAGTTTGTTATGGCACTGACCGAAAACCAGTTTGGTGCAGCGGAGAAAGCTGCTGCACCAAACTGGAAGGAAGGACGGAGAGGTGGAGGAAAGGAAAAATGGAAGGAAGGAAGGAAGGAAGGAAGGAAGGAAGGAAGGAAGGAAGGAAGGAAGCTGAAGGGAGGGAGGGAGGGAGGGAGGAAGGATGGAAAGAGGGTGAACTCAGGCAAAGAGGGAGGGAGGGAGGAAGGAGGGAGGGAGGGGGGATTGAAAGTGTAGATTGTAGTGACTTTGTTTTATTCGGATGTATTAATTATAGTATTATTATGAATTAGTCCTAGAAAACTGATGAACTCCAGGGTAATAGATTCAGAGATATTCCTTATCTGGTTCCTCAAAAACCTTCAACAATGGCAGAGCTTCTTAATGCAGTGGAAAAATGCTTAATTTTTTTTTTTTTAAATTTAGAGACTGGGCCACTCTTTGTCCGGAATGAAATAGGGTCTCCTGCTCGAGAAGGGGGTTGGTCTAGAAGACCTCCATGGTCCCTTCCGACTCTATCATTCTCTGTTCAGAGGTGGATCTGCCTTAAAAGTAGTCCTGGCTGAACTGTCCAGCGCAGTCAAACACAGGAAATGCTTTTGTGACATTTTGAAGGAGGTCATAAAATGCTCTCCGATCCTTTTGGATGTCGTAAAATGTTTTATAAAAATTTGCCATAGGGTCAATTCCTCCGGTCCCAAAGATTTTTGGGTGCATTCTGTAAGTTAGTCCATTTGAAGTACCTTAGCTCCAAAAGTTTGGCCCTACCGCTGCACCGGTTAAAGGTCCCAGACATGACAATTTTAGGAATACATGGCTTAATTAATTCGTATTGATATTATATTTCTTCATATGTTTTGCCTTGTTCTACATAATCTTCCTAAATTTCAGTGATCGGAGTTGGACCGAAGCTCATAAAAACACTTGCAAAAATTCCCAATGGAGGATAAAACCTCATCCAGTTCCATCCAAGGAATTAAAAATAATTCGATTTGAATCCATTTTTTTTTTAAATAGCAACCACTAGCTAACAAACGATCAAAAGGACATCCTAACCTTTTGCTAAGTCACTGTGATGTTTTAATTGACACTTTATAGGTCAATTAAAGTCGGAGCGTTTTAGTTACCACTGAATTTTTGCCCTGGGCAGGATGAAAATAAATAAATAAATAATCCCACTTTGCAAAAGGTTTTGGAATTACCTTTGTTTGGAGAGATTAAAGTGGAGATTTAAAAGGCCCGGTGGTGCCTTCTGGCTTTGAAATGCTCCCTGCTTAATTCCAAACACCGATTCCAGAAAAAGGGAGAATAAACTTTAAAAATTTGAGTACGTGGGGCGTATAACCTGAAATCCCGGGACTGGTTGCAGCTGCCTCAAAGCTGCCAGTCGGATGGGGAGGTTTGGTGAGTGGGACCGAAGAGGACTGAAACAACATTGTGTGTTGTTGCGTAGCACAAAACAACGAGCCTTACCTGGATCTGAGGGGAGAGCGCGTAGTAGGTGAGCTCAAACCGAATCTGATCGTTGCCCTAAAAAAAAAAAAAAAGGAAGAAGAGGATTTATTTATTTTATTATATTTCTATACCGTCCTTCTCCTGTGGGACTCAGGGCGGTGTACAGCCAGGATAAAACATAGCATATAAAAGTTAAAAACATTTAAAAAAACAATTAAATAATTTTGGCCCGAATTTAAAGCAACCCAATTAAAACCGAAATTTTAATAAAAAGGATTCGGCAAAAATCGCAAATCGTTTTTGCCCAACGGAAACGTCGGTTTGCGATCGCTTTCGTTGGGGAACCTCTCCGCCGTTTTTATTTTTCCCCCGCTGGGATCACCTGGTTGCCTCCCATCCAACCGATACAGGAAGTCCTCGATGTACGACCGTTCGTTGACAACAGGGATGAGGGGGAAAAAAAGAGGAACTGACAACCTGATTCCTCGTAGTTACGGCTGTCGCCGGGGTGAGGCGATCAGGATTTGCATCCTTGGCAACCGGCAGGGGGATTCAGGATTATCTATGTGTGTTCTATATTTTAACCATGTTGAGCCACATTTTAGGAAGAGTCGGGTTCTAATCCTACCTGATAAGGAAACTCTGAGGTGGCCTTGGGGATCCCTTTGAAATTGGCACACAGCTCCGGATTTTCAGGGGAGGGGGTGTTCAGATGGGGGAGGGAAGGCGGGGTTTATCAGTCCAGACAGGCTGAAAAATATTCCTGATAGAAACTAGCAACAGATCCTCAGGCATTCTGAAGTGGAATCCTAGAAGTGCAAGGGACCTTAGAGGTCTTCTAGCTCAACCCCCTGCTCGAGCGGGAGACCATATACTGTCCTGATCAATTTCCAATTTGGAAATTGTGGAACACCCACAACTTCTGGTGGCAAGCTGTTCCACTGATTAATTGTCCTTGCTGTTAGGAAGTTTCTCCTTAGTTCTAGGTTGCTTCTCTCTCCTTTGTTAGTTTCCATCTGTTGCTTCTTGTCTTGGTGCTTTGGTGCTTTGACCCCCCTCTTCTTTTTAGGAGCCCCTCAAATATTGGAAGATGCTATCCTGTCTCCCCTGGTCCTTCTCTTCACTAGACTAGCCAGGCCCAGTTCCTGCAACCGTTCCTCGTATATTTGCGCCTCCAGTCCCCTAATCATCTTGGTTGCTCTTCTCTGCACTCTTTCTAGAGTCTCAACATCTTTTTTGAACAGTGATGACCAGAAGTAGATGCCGGTTTAACAAACAATCTTTCTTGAGATTCATGTGACCGTTGAGAGCAACCGAGATGATCGTGGTTTGCAGGAGCCAAAAAAAAAGAGGCAGCGACAGAAGACTCTGGAGCCAACATCTAACCCAACTTCCTTCTCCCATCTGCTTCTCAGTCATGGAGCCTCACACAGATGTTGCCCGGAGCATTTAAGAAATTGGCAGTGCGGATCAGGGACCAGGAAGCTTTGGGGGCTCGGATTACAGGGAGGGGGGTGATTGCCTCTCAACCCATTTGCCTGCAAGCCAAGCTTACTCGAATGGGAAGATGTTTCAAAGGGCTTGTAGCTTTCTGAAGCTACAGCCGAGAGAACATTTCATAGAAGGCAAAAGTATTTCAGTACGTTTTAAGGCCACGTCGAGCAGAGTTGTTAGATGGGTTAGGCTGAGAGGGAGAGACTGGTCCAAAGTCACCCAGCCAGTTTTCATTCCTAAGGCTGGACTAGAACTCACCATCTCCTGGTGATTGGCCCAAAGTCATTCAGCCACCTTTCATGCCTAAGGTAGGACTAGAACTCACCATCTCATGGTGATTGGCCCAAAGTCACCCAGTCGGCTTTCATGCCTAAGGCTGGACTAGAACTCACTGTCTCCTGGTGATTGGCCCAAAGTTACCCACCTGCTTTCATGGCTAAGGCTGGACTAGAACTCACTGTCTCCTAGTGATTGGCCCAAAGTCACCCAGTCAGCTTTCATGCCTAAGGCTAGACTACAACTCACTGTCTCCTAGTGATTGGCCCAAAGTTACCCACCTGGCTTTCATGCCTAAGGCTGGACTAGAACTCCCCATCTCTTGCTATCAATTCAGGGCGTTGGGGTAAAAAAATAAAAATCTTGTACCAAACTCCTGCCAGAGTTCCCAAACCTCACACTGCAACCGTACAGGAGCAAAATCAGCCCTCCCACCTCCTCTTTTCTTTTTAGAAAGCCTGATTCTGCAATCTTTCTCCGCCCTTTCTGAGCTATTTCCATTCTGCTCAAGCAGCACAATTTTGAATGATGAAGCCCAGCAAAAGGAATCTTGATAAAAGTAAGTCTTTGCTGCCCTCTTGTGGGAAAATGTGTGCCATACACTTTTTAAAAAAAACACTACAAGCCTGTGTAAATTTACAAACAGGTTTGTTTTTAATTAGAGTTTTAGAATAAGATTAAAAAAAAATCAAGGGAAAAAGAATACTAAAAAAAAAAGAAAATAGAAAAAGAAATAATATATGACTTCTGCCTGTCACTCCATTGAGTAATTGCCAGGCATCAAGAGAACTTAAATATTTGTTGCTAATCAGGAATTTGTCCCTTCTCTGTCTCCTTCCTTCCTTCCTTCCTTCCTTCCTTCCTTCCTTCCTTCCTTCCTTCCTTCCTTCCTTCCTTCCTTCCTTCTTCTCTTCTTCCCTTCCTTCCTTCCCTCCCTCTCCCTCTCCTCCCCTCCCTTCCCTTTGTGTCTCCTTCCTTCCTTCCTTCCTTCCTTCCTTCCTTCCTTCCTTCTTCTCTTCTTCCCTTCCTTCCTTCCCTCCCCTCTCCTCTCCTCCCCTCCCTTCCCTTTGTGTCTCCTTCCTTCCTTCCTTCCTTCCTTCCTTCTTCCTTCCTTCCTTCCTTCTTCTCTTCTTCCCTTCCTTCCTTCCCTCCCCTCTCCTCCCCTCCCTTTCCCTTTGTGTCTCCTTCCTTCCTTCCTTCCTTCCTTCCTTCCTTCCTTCCTTCCTTCCTTCCTTCCTTCCTTCCTTTCCTTCCTAAGCAATTCAACCCTGTGCAATTTAGCTTGTCAGCTACTCTAGGAAAATCCTGTCTAGCTAAAACTCAGTTTAGCTAATTTTTAACAAGCGCTGTCCAGATACGCGCAGTCTTATTTTTCTTTGAATTATTCAGAATTACTCAGAGGGACAAAATCCAAGAAGATGACTTCCCAAGAAAGACCTTGGCTAAGTTTGCTCAAGCCGTAAAATCGAATTTGTGCCTCATGCAAATTTTGGTCCTTGCTTCCTAGAGACATAGATAGACCTTCTCCCCTCAGTCCAGATTCCAGCATGGTTGTGTCATGAATGTCACCGAAGTAAAGTCCACTGAGAAGATTAACAGGGGAAGAGTTTAAAACATCACCAATAAAGGAGAATATTTTGCAGCGCAGGGTTGAAATGAGGAGTGCTGGGAGCTCTCTGAGCTTGGTGGTTTTCTTGCAGACGTTTCGTGACCCCACTAGGTAACTTCATCAGTGCTAGACCTCACATTCCTCCTCCTCCTCCTCCTTCTCCTTCTCCCACAAACCCCACTCCCTTCTAGCACTGATGATGTTACCTAGTTTGGGTCATGAAACGTTTGCAAGAAAACAACCAAGCTCAGAGATCACCAAGGACCCCACAATCTCCTTCTCCTTCTCCTCCTTCTCTTTCTCCTTCTCCTTCTCCTTCTCCTTCTCCTTCTCCTCCTCCTTCTCCTCCTTCTCCTCCTCCTTCTCCTCCTCCTTCTCCTTTTCCTCCTCCTCCTTCCCCTTCTCCCACAAACCCCACTCCCTTCTAGCACTGATGATGTTACCTAGTTTGGGTCATGAAACATTTGCAAGAAAATAACCAAGCTCAGAAATCACCAAGGACCCCACAATCTCCTTCTCCTTCTTCTCCTTCTCCTCCTCCTTCTCCTCCTCCTTCTCCTTTTCCTCCTTCTTCTCCTTCTCCTTCTTCTCCTCCTTCTCCTCCTCCTTCTCCTTTTCCTCCTTCTTCTCCTTCTCCTCCTCCTCCTCCTTCTCCTTCTTCTCCTCCTCCTCCTTCTTCTCCTTCTCCTCCTCCTTCTCCTCCTCCTTTTCCTCCTTCTTCTTCTTCTCCTCCTCCTCCTCCTTCTCCTTCTCCTTCTCCTCCTCCTTCTCTTTCTCCTCCTCCTCCTTCTCCTCCTTACACCCCACTCCCTTCTAGCACTGACAATGTTTGGGTCATGAAATGACTGCAAGAAATCAGCCAAGCTCAGAGAGCACCAAGGAGCCCTCATGAAAGCATCATGCTGGCTCACCCCACCTTGCCTGTAGCTCCATGAGAAACGAATTGGGCCTCCTCTCTCAAGGCGATTTCCATCTGCTTCTGGGCGATGCATGGCCGGGCCAAAGACGTGCCCAGAAGATAGCGGTCCTCATAGAGAGCCCCAGCTTGGACCGCTGGCCAAATAAACTCTTCTACAAATTCTCTGCGCAGGTCCTCAATGTAAACCTAAAATTCAGATGATACGATGGAGATGAAAAGTATTATAAATAAAATAAATAAAACATGGGGGGTGGGGAAAAAACCATTCCCTGATGGAGCATCCACAACTTCTGGAAGAAGGATTGGTGTCCATGTATGCTTTAATGAGCCATTATTCTTTCAGCAAACCCTCATTAAGCCAACTGAGGCCAAGGGTAGCAGGCAAAATTAATCACTCACCTTCTTGGCACCCAAAGAAAGAGCTTTCATTCTCGCCTTTTCGAAGTCTTCCTCTTGTCCAATGTTGGCCTGGGAAATATTTAAAGGGGGGAAAAATAGGAAATAACTTCTAGATTAAGGAAATCTGCTTTTTTGTGTGTTTTTAAGGGGAGTAAAGGTAAAGGTTCCCCTTACACATCTGTGCTAGTCGTTCCTGACTCTAGGGGGCGGTGCTCATCTCCGTTTCAAAGCCGAAGAGCCAGTGCTGTCCGAAGACATCTCCGTGGTCATGTGGCCGGCATGACTCAACGCCAAAGACGCACGGAACGCTCTTACCTTCCCACCAAAGGTGGTCCCTATTTTTCTACTTGCATTTTTTACGTACTTTTGAACTGCTAGGTTGGCAGAAGCTGGGACAAGGAACGGGAGCTCACCCCATTATGTGGCACTAGGGATTCGAACAGCTGAACTGCCGACCTTTTGATCAACAAGCTCAGTGTCTTAGCCACTGAGCCACCATGTCCCTTTTAAGGGGAAAAAGGCACCAAATCCTTAATTGTATAAAGGGGTCTCATTATTTCTAATTTGGGAGGGTATCTTAGAATATCTTGGAAAAGGGGGCTGCTAAATTTTGGAAGGACAGCAGAGCCGTTTCCCATCTCTGAGGGGTAAAAATTAAGGGAAGAGATTAAGGGAAGGAGAAGAGCAAAGAGGAAGGGAAGGGGAGAGCGAGGAAGAGTGAGAGAAAGAAGGAAGAAGTACAAAGAGGGAGGGAAGGAAGGAATGGAAATGGGAGGGAAGGAAGGAAGGAAGGAAGGAAGGAAGGAAGGAAGATGGGAGAGAGGGAGGAAGGGAGAAAGATGGGAGAGAGGGAGGGAGGAAGGGAGGAAGGGAGATGGGAGAGAGGAAGGAAGGAAGGAAGGAAGGAAGGAAGGAAGGAAGGAAGGAAGGAAGGAAGGAAGGAAGGAAGGAGTAAAGGGAGATGGAAGGGAGATGCCTGGCTCTTCCTATAAGCCTCCCCATTCTAGCTTTCTCTGCAGTTCCTAAGGGGAAAATACTGGCTTCCCTGGAAGGGCACCCAGAGGCCATCTAGCCCCACTCTTTCCTAAGATGCCAATCCGCGGGGCTTCCTCTGAAGCCATTTCCTAGCTGAGTGAGGCTGCTTGAGGGCCTCCAGCTCAGCCGTTTAAACAATATTGCTGCAAGGGAAGAAGTATTTGTCCTTCAGTGGCAATAAAAATAACTCCAAATAACAAATAAGGGGGAAAATAAGTCCAAAGGGGTAAAGTTCTCCGCTAACTAAAGCAGGACTCATCATAAGACAGTCTGAACTTTGTCTTGATAAATAAGGTGATGGGGGGTTTTTTTTGATGATTTTTTCATTCTTGAAATTCTTTTGAAACTTTGTGGCTTGCAACTTCTTTTAATCACGGATATTTATTCTCAGGTCCTGGATTTCTGTGTGTGTTCATTTGAAGGGCCCCAAGTCTTTACAATGAAATTTATATTTAATTAAAGACTACTTTCGCTCCCCCGGGGACCCAGCAGCCGGATTGGATATCAAATCCCATCATCCTCAGCCCTGCTGCTAGCTAGTTAGGGGCCAACTGAAAGGCAAGGCTGAAATTGAGATTCCTCCTTCCTTCCGGTTTGTGGCTGATGGTTCTCCTCTTAACCGAGGCAAGACTGATACCGGTTGAATTTCTACCTGGGGTCCCTTGCAACTTTCACAATCAAGCCATTGCCGTATCTCTTAAACTTGGCAACTTTAAGATGGGTGGACTTCAACTCCCAGAATGCCCCATCCAGCATGCTGGGAAATTTGGAAGTTGAAGTCCATCCATCTTAAAGCCTACTAACCAGGGAATTCTGGGAGTTGAAGTCTACCGTCTTAAAGCTTGCTGTCTGGGGGATTCTGGGAGTTGAAGTCCACCCATCTTAACGCCTGCTGGGTGGGGAATTCTGGGAGTCGAAGTCCACCCCTCTTAAGTTGCCAAGTTTGAATAATATTGATTTGAAGTCCTTGAAAAGTTCTCTCACCAGGTAAGCGATGACATCATAACCTTGTTCTTTCAGCCAAACCAGGATGCAGGACGTATCCAGACCACCACTGTACGCCAGAACCACAAGGCCTTTGGCCTGAGACATTGAGTCTATAATAATCATAATAATACTTTATTGAGCTTATATGTCACCCGAAGGACAATTCAAGAAAAAAAAAAAAACCCATGAGATTAACAGGCAGAGTCTGGATATCTTCAGAAGACCCCAAACCCAACTGCTTTTTTTTTTCCAGGCTAAAAAAAAGAGTTGATAGACCTGGATTTGCTTAACGACCTTGCGATTCACTTAACAACCAATTGGCTTAGCAACGGAAATTCTGGTTCCAATTATGGACATAAATCAAGGACAGCCTGTATTCACAGAATAACTTCTCCAGGCATTTTGAATGCTCATGAAGCAGCTGTAACAGTTGTCTCAGAAAAATGTGAGGACCAAATATTGGCAGGTATAGGTCTTGAGGCAACGTAGGTCTTGAGCCCGCGGAACTCATCACCACAAGATTCCACATGAGCATGATGGTCCTGGCTCAGACTTCACTCCCAGCCTCAGGAATGGGCTCCCTCCTTCTAATACAACTTCCAGAACCCCTCATCCTTGCTGGGACTGATGGGTGTCGTAATTCATCAACCTCTGAACTCTATATAATCTCCAGACCCACACCCCAAATGCTGTTAATCTGCAAATACAGGTAATCCTCTCCTTACGACCACAACTGAGCCCAATATTTCCATTCCTAAGGGAGAGAGTTGTTAAGTGAATTTTCCCCCATTTTAACAGGATAACAGAGTTGGAAGGGACCTTAGAGGTCTTCTAGTCCAACCCCTTGCTCAAACAGGAGACTCTATACTTTTTTGGACAAGTGGCTGTCCGGCCTCTTCTTTAAAAAAACCTCCAGTGATGGAGCACCCACAATTTCTAGAGGCAAGGCGTTCCACTGATTAAATTTTCTCACTGTTAGGAAATTTCTCCTTAATTCTAGGTTGTCTCTCTCCTTGATAAATTTCCATCCGTTGCTTCTTCTCCTGCCTTCAGGTGCTTCAACTGATTAGATAGAATCGATTGAAGAGATGGATTCTATTATACAGCCTGACCCAATTTAGGGAAAACCAGTTGCGTTATTTTTTCCATAGAGGTTTTTTCAATAAAAGGATGTCCAGCTTGGCACAGAGCAGAGCTGGCAGATCTGGGGCCCCGTTGGCACCATCCAAAATAAAGATTTGTCCACTGGCTCCGTTAAACAACCCGTTTGTACTTTCAGTTCCCCTTGTACAAAAGAGCAATTTCTTTATTTATTCCGGCTGCGTATCTCCTGTTTAAAACTCAGGGCACAGAGAATTTTCGGCTTTTCCTTTTGTTCTGCCCGTTTTGATCTCTTTCAAATCCCCCAAAAACTTTTATTTCAACAGGTGCAGAAAAGGAGAAAAGCGAAGGGAAGGAAAAGGGAGAAGTAAGCCCGTAGGAAATAAAAAAAGTGGAAGAGAAAACAAATTGAAACTCAAAAGAGGGGAAACATTAGGAAGTGAGGAAGAGCAAAGAGAAAGAAAGAAAGAAAGAAAGAAAGAAAGAAAGAAAGAAAGAAAGAAAGAAAGAAAGAAAGGAAGGAAGGAAGGAAGGAAGGAAGGAAGGAAGGAAGAAAAATTGAAAAAGAGGAACAAATATACGAAGAAATGGCTTCTGATATTCTTCACAATTATATTTCAATCTCTCTTTCTAAAGTTACGTCAGAATACTCTTCTTTTTCTAATCTATTTTATCTCAAAAAAGATATAAAGAGTCAGTTTCTGACCTTCCTTTCATTCATCATGCACACATTTATATTTTATTTTCTCTCTATTTATAGTGTGGCTTCCTTCTTCTCATCCTCTCCTCTTTTTAATCGTCAAACCCGGCCCCCCCCTAAATCAGACGTTCCTTTTTTCTCCCCAATCCTCTTTAAAACTCTTCCAAACTTCTTTAGAAGTTTTTTTTTTTTTGCAACTCTTCAAAACTTCGTTAAAAGTTTCCCCCCCACACACCACTTTCTTGCAGTGTCACTTACCTGCAAAGACAAAAAAAAAAATTCAGCTGCAGATTAAAGTCAGGGGTCTCCCCACCAAATCTCGGTGCTTCGAGCCATCCCAGAATATATACCCCTCCCCAATTATCTAAGGAGGAGGAGCCAGGACGGGCACAGTCCAACCTCAGCAAGCACCCCTTTCTCTAGTCTTTTAGTCACCATCCTGGCTGGGTGGTTTGAGTTATTCAAACCTTGCCAATAGTTTTGGGCCAGTTGAATCATTGCCAAGGGAGGGGGGGGAAAACACCTCTGCCCTAGTTATTATTTTAATTCTTGCACCATCGGACACAGCAGCCAGGTAGGGAGAAGAATTTGGCAGGCCTCTTGACGGATCTACTACTCGTGACCCGCCAGAGAGAGATAAGGTCTCATTGCAACAGACCGGTCACCTGCCTGAGTGGAAAAGATAATGAGCATATTGGACATTCTCTCTTTTTTTCCAGACCTGTCAGACCTCGGTCCAGGTTTTTCTGCTGGAATTTGGCACCGTCAGGTCATAACTGGAATAAGGTAAAGGTTCCCCTCGCACACATGTGCTGGTCGTTCTTGACTCTAGGGGGCGGTGCTCATCTCCGTTTCAAAGCCGAAGAACCAGACGTCTCCGTGGTTGTGTGGCCGGCATGACTCAACTCCAAAGGCGCACGGAACGCTCTTCCCTTCCCACCAAAGGTGGTCCCTATTTTTCTACTCGCATTTTTTTTTTACGTGCTTTCGAACTGCTAGGTTGGCAGAAGCTGGGACAAGTCACGGGAGCTCACCCCGTTACGCGGCACCAGGGATTCGAACCTTTCAATCGACAAGCTCAATGTCTTAGCTGCCTGAGCCGCCGCGAATACTTGATGCTTAAATAAACTTATTATTTATTTATTATTTCAATAAACTTATTGATGCTTAAATTGATGCTTAAATAAATCGAGCTATTTATTTACCGTTTGGGTCTGAAGGTTGACTGTACGATGAACAATTGAGGGAAGTGGGTAGGGCTAGTCTAATGAAAAGAAGGACGAAGGGAGACACGATAACTGACTTCCAATATTTGAGGGGCTGCCCCAGAGGAGGACAACCTATTCTCCAAAGGACCAGAAGGCAGGACAAGAAGCAACGGATGGAAACGCATCAAGGAAAGAAGCAACTTAGAACTAAGGAGAAATTTCCTGACAGTGACAACAATTAACCAGTGGAACTCCTTGCCTCCAGAAGTTGTGGGTGCTCCATCACTGGAGGTTTTCAAGAAGAGATTGGACAGCCATTTGTCTGTATAAGGTTGGACTAGAAGACCTCCAAGGTCCCTTTTAACTTTGTGATTCTGCCTTCTTCCGTCTTTTTGTCTTCCCTGTTTTGAAAAGCTTCCATCCCCAGGGTCTGTTCTGGACCCCGTAGTCGTTGACTTGCAACCACAATTGAATGTCATCCTTTGCTAAAGGGTGCCGTCACTAAGCATATCATCATGGCGGAACGGTACCCAATTTTACAACAATTTTGAGTCCGGTTGTTAAGCAAAATCACTGCAATTGTTCAATGAATTGTGCAGTTTTTAAGGGAAATTCAGCTTCCCTCATGGATTTGGCTCGTCAGAAGCTGGCTGGGAAGTGGCAAATCGACATTCACGTGATCCCAAGATTAATCGTGGTCAATGCAAGCTGGTTGCCGAGTGCCCAAACAGTAATTCTGGGACCTCGGTGTGTTTGTGTGTGATAGTCATAAGGACAGGTCATAAGTCAATTTTTTTTCAGCTCCATCGTATGTTTGAAAGGTCATTAAATGAACTGTTGAAACTTCAGGATTACCTATCAGCTGTAAAAGCTTTAATCAGCATAGGGAAAAGACATCAAATAGACAAGTATATATATATATATGGAAATGGACATTTGATTTCAAATCAGTATCAGGATCTGTTATCAATGCATTCAATACAGTCCCCAATTTTCCTGATTAAATCTCCAATACACAAAGTAGCCAATGGTTGCAATAGAATTCAATATTTTCTCAATGGACGGGCGAAATATCCAAGTGACACACCAGGGGGCAGTATGGTTCAATACATTTCCCTGTTCTCCACTTTTAATCTGTTAGTCCCTATGTCAGCCACTGGAGGGCAGCATCTGGTATGTCCCAGAGCAGTGTTTCTCAATCTTAGCCACTTTAAGAAGTATGGAGTTCAACTCCCAGAATTCCTAGCTGGGGAATTCAAGGGGGGGTGGGGAATTGAAGTCCACACATCTTAAAACATGCCCGAGTGGGCAATTTTGGGAGTTGAAGTCAACATGCCTTCCCCATGCTGGGGAATTCTGGGAATTGAAGTCTTGAAACCTGATGGCTGGGGAATTCTGGGAGTTGAAGTTGCCAAGTTGAGAAAGGCTGCCCTAGAATTGCACTACCTTGATCTATTTTACCCATGGGCCCTGCAATTGCATGTCAGCCAACAGGTGGCATCATTTCCTAAATTATTAAAAACTTTCCCTAGTTTACTCAGAGGGATGCAGTACCCAGCTGAGCCACAAGGGGGCAGCATGTGCTTGATGTATTTGCTATATATGTCCAACAGGGGCATTCCATTATTGTTAGTGTTTAGAGTGTTTAGAGAAATGAATTGAAGCTTTTTAAAGGTATTTTTTTACTTTCACTTTCGTTTTAGACCAAAAAAAAAGAAGAAGAAGAAGACGACACCTTAACGTCCACCTTGTTTAACAACGGGGACGTTCCAATCCGAATCATAAATCAAGAACTCGAATCGTAAATCAAGAACTCGGTTTAAATCATCATGGCGTTATTATTAAAGATAGCCCATTATTTTCTTTAAAATAAAAAATAAAAAAATTAGAAATGCCTCCCAGCCCTTGACTATTGAAAAGGGTCCAAGTTCTCTTTTGTCCAAAAAAAGAGAGAAAAGAAATAAGAAATAATCTTCCTTTTTTTTCCTTTTTTTTTTTTTTTTTAATATGCAGGCAATGGAAGTTTGTGAGATCGGAGTTCGGAGCATTGAAGCTCTTTAAAAGCAAGGCAAGGATGCAATGACTTCCCAACCCTCCCGCCCCACATCCAAAGTGAAGCCTCACACAACAGTTGTGATGGACAAAACAACAACGACAACAAAAAAGACACACAAAAAAAGGGAGGGGGCGGAATTTAACCCCCTTCCGACTTCAGCCAGGCTGCCAAGTGTGCGTGATTACAGATTCAGGGCTTAAATTTCTCCCGCAAAAGAGGGGAAAAAAAGACCCCACCCCATTTTCGGTGTTTGATGATCCTTCGGGCGACAAGCCCGTTATGAAAGCGTCAAATAAATAAGGCAGCGGTCTGCAAAAAGAGAAATACACATACATACACACACACACACACACACACAAAGAGGCAAATCATATCCAAAGGAGATGGGAGGGGGGTTTTTTTGTGCATCACTCGGAACATTAAAAAGGGGCTTTGTACATGCAGACTTGGGAGTGGGGGGCAGGCAATCCCGAGCGATGCAAATTGCAGCAAATCCAGATGATATGGAGAAAAATGAGTTTTTCAAACAGATTTTGATTCACAATTTTTTTTTGTTTTGCTTTTTGCCTTCCCCCTGTACTCCCACCCACACCCCGCCTGCTTTTCCAGTCTGACTTAATCAGTAGCCTCTCCAGTCCCTTCCATCCCTCCGCCCCACCCCACCCGCTGCCCCCCAGGGAAGAAATATGAAATCTCAAGTTCATTCCAGACAAAACGCAAAAGGGGGACAATGTATGCCAGAACTGTCTCCATCCCATAAAGGATTCCCACCCTCTGCCCTTCCTTTGTCTGTCTCTCTTTTTTAAAAAATAATAATAATAAAATAATGATGGTAATCAAAGCAGTCGCTCGGCCGATATGGGACGATTCCAAGCAGAAAAAGGGGGTTTTGAGGCTGAGGTCGGACTTGGAAGACGCCCCTTGCTTGCGAGTAACGGAAGAGTAACGTCAGACAAAGGTCTCGTTGGGGGAGGCAGCTTGATGTCACTGGAAGAAGGACTTCTCGATGCGTCTGGAAAGAAGAGAAGAGAAGAGAAGAGAAGGGAAGGGAAGGGAAGGGAAGGAAAGGAAAAGAAAAGAAAAGAAAAGAAAAGAAAAGAAAAGAAAAGAAAAGAAAAGAAAAGAAAAATGAAAAGCCTGAAGCTTCCTGATGGACATTACGATTTTATATATTTATAGAACTCATGTCCTGCTTTTAGTGTCTTTTTTAGAAATGTGTTATTAGTCTTTTAGTTGCCTGGTTTGAGATGGCGCGGCCATAAAAATTGAATGCATGAATGAATGAACCAGGGAAGGAAGGCGAAGGAAGCGAACAAGCGAAGGAAGGCTGTATAAAAGGAAGGGAGGGAGGAAGAGAGGAAGGGAGGGTGGGAAAGAGGGAGGGAGGGAAAGAAGGAAGAGAATGAGAGGAGGGAGAGAAGGGAGGGAGGAGAAGGGGAATGGGAGGGAGGAAAGGAAGGAAATATAAAATGAATGAATGAATGAATGAGGGAGGGAGAGAGGGAGCGAAGGAAGGGAGGGAGGAAGGAGAAGGGGAATGGGAGGGAGGAAAGGAAGGAAATATAAAATGAATGAATGAATGAATGAATGAATGAATGAATGAATGAATGAATGAAGCAATCTAAGTTAGAATCAAATTTGGAAGGAAACATTGAATCCATCCCTGCCAGACACAAACAATTATTTATTCCCCTTATCGTTTTAATACATACAGTATTTGCTGTGTTTTTTTTTTTCCTCCTCTTGTTCTACTGCAATGTATTGTATTGCAAAATGCAGGGTATTTTGGTCTTTGCCCACACTCTTAAATTAACTACTTAAGGGGTGGTTTGAATGGGGTTCTACGTTTGGGCATGTATTCAGATTCGTAGTGTGTTCCATTGTTGTCAACAAAACACAATAGTTGTTGTGACAGTGACAATACTGTTGTTGCTGGGAGCTGCCACATAAATGAGACGGAAGTCGAGCCGAGTCAAATAATAAAAACTATGGTTCTCCTAAGTCTCATGAGGTTTTTTTCTTTTCCATATATATATATATATTAGCGGGAGGGGAGGTCATTTTTTCTTATGTAAATAGAAAGCTGAGATTGGAGACTTGGGTGCTCACCAAAGCCTAGACTGGGGGAACTATACCAGTCCGTCGTAAAGGGAAAGGGCCTGAACGATGGAAGGATCGGCTTTCGAACCTTCCTGGAACTCCTGCAGCGTTAATTTCCCATCAGCGTTCTGGAAGAAAAGGAGAACCAGATGTTAGGAGAAGGCAGGGTGCTCTCGTAAGAGTTGGGAGGGGTCCCAAGAGGTCATCTGGTCCATTCCCCTTTCTTGGTGCTGAGTTAAGGAGGTAGCTCAGTCATTGGGTCGTGCGACCATGGACTCAAAAGAACAGGAACTAAATCTCTTGTGTGTCTATCTATCTATCTATCTATCTATCTATCTATCTATCTATCTATCTACATCTATAGTTAATATTATTATATTTCTCTCTCTCTCTCTCTCTATTTATATCTATCTATCTATCTATCTCTATCTCTATCTGTCTGTCTGTCTATCTATCTCATGTCTCTATCTATCTTTCTATCTCTATCTATAGTTAATATTATTATATTTCTCTCTCTCTCCCTCTCTTTCTCTCTCCTATCTGTCTCTCTCTATCTGTCTGTCTGTCTGTCTGTCTGTCTATCTATCTATCTATCTATCTATCTATCTATCTATCTATCTATCTCATCTCTCTCTCTTTCTCTCCATACATAACATAGACAGACAGACAGACATATTTGATCAACTCAAGGCAGAAAACATACTTAATATACTTCTGCATCCTACTTTCCAAACACCAACAACCCTGTGAGGTGGGTTAAGCGGAGAATGAGTGACTGGCCCAAAGTCACCCGGCCATTTTTCCTGCCAAAGGGAGGACTAGAACTCACAGCCTCCTGCTTTCTAGGTCAGCAGCTGAGGGTTTTTCAACCTTGGAAACTTTCAGCTCGGTTGGCTTTCCACTCTCCCTTAGGAATAGGGCTGCGAAGGAAGCGAAATGGGAGACCCCTTGGTCACCTCCTGCTGGTAGCCAAAGAAGCTGGAGAAGAAAACTCACTTTGTCCATCATGGCAAAAATCCGGTCCACCCTCTTCTCCGGTGTGTTCTCCTCTTCCGGCAGCTCCACCGTGTTACCCTGGTCAAAGAAAGCGAAGATGACACAGCCTTGGAGACACACAGCCCGTCATTTCCATACGATCCCACGAACTCTGGCAGACTCAATAAAGCCCATGAAGCAGCAGTGAAATCTTATGTGAGTCTGCTACCGAGTGTGCCTGAGACGCTAAAAAAGGAACATTTTGAAGCCTTCCGAGTTTGCAAAGGTAAGTAGAACAGTGAGGGGTGGGGGAATCCGCTGTGCCACCCGATTTTGATTAGCTAGAAAGCAAGAAATCCGATGATTCTAGCAAATATAAATCGTGCGTCACAGCTGATTGTCGCCCAGCTGATCGTCGGAAATACCGATTCGCCTGAACTGGTAGCATTTTTTACGACCAGTTCTCCCAAACCGGTCTGAACCAGTAGCATTTCACCCCTGGTACGAAGTTACTAAAGCACCTACCCAAAGCAAACCAGCGCTTGGTATGGCCCATAATTGAAGGAGCTAATTTGGGGTTCAGGACATTACAGAAACTCAACTTCATTATCTGGGCAATCTTCTCGCCGAACCCATCCATTTCTTTCCCAGGATGCCATGCTGGCTCTCCGTTGTCCGCCATTCTTCTCAAGACTCTGTTGAATTCTGCCCCAACTTCAGGGAGCCCCTGATTTACAGCCAACTACTGACTGTTCGAAGTTGCTTTTTTCGGCACGTTCCAACGGTAACAAACCATGATTTCTATACTCACCACCATCTGGTAAATAGCATCTACTATATCCAGCATCTCATTTCTTGTGATGTAGCCATCATTATCCAAGTCATACAGTTTAAAGGCCCCTGAAACGCAGCGGGAAAAAAAAGAAAAGAAAGAAAGTTTGCAAAGAAAGTGATACAGCTTTAGGAACCGAGACTCGGTCAGAAAAGGCTCTAAGGCCAAAATCTCTTCCACAATTTCTCGGTGTCAAACTTAAGGCCCGTGTGTCGGATCCAGCCCAGAATTAGCAAAGGACCAGCCCACGGTGCCTCTGGAAGCCAAAATGGGTGCCCCGTGTCTCATTTTTTGGCCGACAAATTGCTGCAAGAGGCCATCCAGACCGAAAACGGAGTGTGGGGGCAGCGAGAACCTCCTCTGTGCCCCATTTAGGCCGGGAAAGTGCTGCAGGAGGTGTCCGTCCCATCTCCCCACACACACACGGCCGGGCCATGGAGGAGAACTGCAATGCTGATCTGGCCCCCGAAGAAATCCAGTTTGACACCCCTGATATAGAATATCAGAGTTGGAAGGGACCTTGGAGGTCTTCTAGTCCAACCCCCTGCTCAGGCAGGAGATCCTACATCATTCTGGACAAATGTTTGTCTAACCAGGAGACGAAGAAATAAATAAATAGTCAGGGAAGAAACTCTCCACTTGCTTACATCGCAGTTTTTCATCCAGGGTTCCTCGGGACGTGACTGAAAGGGCCTGGATGAATTCGGAAAACTCGATTCTTCCATCCTTGGAGAAGAGAAAAGGAAAGAGCCGACATTGAGAAAAAGCTTGGGGGAAAAGCTGTTTAAAGTGCAATTACAGTTGCCCTCTATTTATGACCATTCGTTTAGGGACGGTTGGGAGTTACGACGGCACAGAAACGAGGAACTCGGATCTTGCAGTTTAGGGACCAGGACAGTAAATCAGTCCTTGTGGTTACGACCAACACAGCGTCCTCACAGTTCTGTGATCGTAATTTAGATATTTGGCAGCTGGCCTGTCTTTATGGACAAGGATTGCAGCCTCCCAGGAGACCTGATTGCCATTGGGGACTTTCCCAGCGGGCTCCCAACACAAAGTAAACAGGGTAAGCCGGACTCATTTAATGACCGATTCAATTGAACGATACTGGCAAAAAAATGTTGTAGGATCAGGCATAACTCACTTAATTCCCACCTCATTTAATGTCCCCTTTTCCCTCGGTCCTATTTCTGTGAAAATATTGCTTGGGGCAAATGCATTTTGGCCAGAGATCAATGAAGATTCATTTGGAAGGAAGGAGGAAGGAAGGAAGGAAGGAAGGAAGGAAGGAAGGAAGGAAGGAAGGAAGGAAGGAAAAAAGGAAGGAAAAAAGGAAAGGAAGGAAGGAATTTGCTATGGGAAGAAAGAAGGAAGGAAGGAAGGAAGGAAGGAAGGAAGGAAGGAGGAGGAGATAAAATGCTATGGGAAGGAAGGAGGAGAGAATATACTAGGGAAGGAAGAAGAGATAAGAAGGAGATGAAGGAGGGAGGGAGGGAGGAAGGGAGGAAGGAAGGAAGGAAGGAAGGAAGGAAGGAAGGAAGGAAGGAAGGAAGGAAGGAAGGAAGGAAGGGATAATTTGCTATGGGAAGAAAGGAAGAAGGAAGGAGGAGGAGATAATATGCTATGGGAAGGAAGGAAGAAAGAAGGAAGGAAGGAAGGAAGAGATAATATGCTATGGGAAGGAAGGAAGGAAGGAGGAAGGAAGAAGGAAGGAAGGAAGGAAGGAAGGAAAGGAAGGAAAGAAAGAAAGAAAGAAAGAAGAAAGAAAGAAAGAAAGAAAGAAAGAAAGAAAGAAAGAAAGAAAGAAAACTCACTTTGTTTTCATCAAAGACATTAAAAACAAAGGTTGCAAACTTGGTAGGGTCCCCAAATGGGAAAAATTGCTTGTAGATTTTCTGAAATCCGGCTGCGTCCAACTGGCCACTCGGGCAGTCCTTAATAAAGCCTTTATACCTGCAACCAGAAAGATAAAATGGATACGCTTGATTTTTTTCCCCTCTCCTACGACTCCAAGAAAAACAACAGAACCATTTTTAATCCCATCTCGGCTTTGCTGTGACTCTTAGGCAGCGTTTCTCAACCTAGGTTAAGTCTGAAGTTGTGTGGACTTCAAACTCCCAGAATTCCCCAGCCAGAAGCTTTCAAAGCCTGATTGCCATTGGACTGCCTTGGCTTTTCACAGGGACTCCAATTTCCAGAAGGAACTGTGGGTTTTGTTGTTCCAACCCATAGTTGGGGAAGGAGACACCGTGGCAGGAAGGACGGCTGAAATGTTTGAAGACACCTATTGTCACAAGAGAGAGAAAGGAGGCCACCTCGTGTTATCTATGCCTCCTGGGTGCCATCAGATTCTTCTTCCCCCATTTTGTTTTAATGGATTCATCTCCATAAAATATCAGAGGAGGCAAGCGATAACTATCTTCCAGGACTTCCTAGAAGAGGTTGGCTTATTCTCCAGAACTCCTGAAGGCAAAGCAAGAAGCAACGGATGGAAACGAATCAAGGAGAGAAGCAACCTAGAACTCAGGAGAAATTTCCTGGCAGTGAGAATCAGTGGAACAACTGAAGTTGTGGAAGCTCCAACACTGGAGGTTTTTAAGAAGAGGTTGGATAACCATTTGTCTGAAGTGGTGTAGGGTTTCCTGCCTAAGCAGGGGGTTGGACTAGAAGACCTCCAAGGCCCCTTCCAGCCTGGTGATTCTATCTTCTATGATGATGGGGGAGCTGGAAGCTAAAATATTCAATGAATGGTTGCAGGAACTGGGTATGTCTAGTCGCACAAAGAGAAGGACTAGAGTTGACATGACAGCAGTCTTCCAATATTTGAGGGGCCGTCACAGAGAAGGGGGAGTCAACTCAGTCCACCCCTCTTAAGGGTTGCAAGGATAGGAAAACATGGGCTCCACTCTTTGCATTTAATAAAACCTAATTGCAGTGTTGGTTTTTTGGATTAGGGGTGACATGATGACAGGGGTCCAATATTTGAAGGGCTGCCCCCAAAGAAGAGGGAGGGTCAACTTGTTCTCCAAAGCACCAGAAGGCAGGACAAGAAGCAACGGATGGAAACGAATCAAGGAGAGAAGCAATCTAGAACCAGGGAGAAATTTCCTGGCAGTGAGAACAATCAATCAGTGGAAAGACTTGTCTCCAGAAGTTATGGGTGCTCCATTGCTGGAAGATTTTAAGAAGAGATTGGACAGCCATTTTTGGGGGGGAATGGTATAGGGTGGCCCTGTTCAAGCAGGAGGGTGGACTAGAGGCCCTCGAAGGACCCTTCCAACTGTAAGCTTCAACAGAATGAATGGTCTCTGAAGAGCTGTCCATGGTCCTGAGCTAAAGAACTATCCAAGGGATGGGTCCTCTCAGAAAATCCGACCCTTGTTTCTACAGTGACCAAGCTGGCCACTTGGCAACTCAGTGTCCAGAAAAGCAAGAATGTCTTGAGTCCACCTCTCAGATCACGTCAGAACAAGGACCTAATAAAGTCAGTTGAAAGCAGGATCTTCGGTAAATGAGGAATTGAACCACTGGGGAAATTCAATTTTTTAAACTACCGGTTTTGTGGGCGTGGCTTGGTGGGCATGGCAGGGGAAGGATACTACAAAATCTCCATTCCCTCCCCACTCTGGGGGAAGGATATTGCAAAATCCCCATTCCCTCCCTATCCCTGGGGGAAGGATATTGCAAAATCCCCATTCCTCACCCCACTCCAGGAGAAGGATACTGTAAAATCTCCATTCCCTCCCTACTCCTAGGGGAAGGATATTGCAAAATCCCCATTCCCTCCCTATTCCTGGGGGAAGGATATTGCAAAATCCCCATTCCTCACCCACTCCAGGGGAAGGATACTGTAAAATCCCTATTCCCTCCCCACTCCATGGGAAGGATACTGCAAAATCTCCATTCCCTCCCTACTCCTAGGGGAAGGATATTCCAAAATCTCCATTCCCTCCATTCCCTGGGACCAGCCAGAGGTGGTATTTGCCAGTTCTCTGAACTACTCAAAATGTCCGCTAACCGGTTCTCCAGAACCTGTCAGAACCTGCTGGATTTCACCTCTGAATTGAACGGATACTACAATATGTTTAGTGACCGTTTGAAGTGACCACAGCCCTGGAAAAAAAAAAGACTTTCCTCTTTGGAATGTGTGTTTATATACAAATGTTCAATAATTCTTAGAATCGGAAATAACACTCACCATTGCTGGACTTCTTTCTCTGTGACTGGAAAAAGAGAGAGAAAAAAGAAATATTTATAGACGACTTCATACATTCATGCACTTCGGTTAAGTTTTCAAAAGCCTTAACTCTTATCTTTTTTGGGCAGAGACAGGGCTGAGTTGCTGGCAGTTCGGGAGAACCTCTAGCTAAGATTCTGTGCAGTTCGGAGAACCCCCAAATCCCACTCCTGGCTGGCCTCTCCCAGTCCAATTTCGGTTGCTAAGTGAGGCGACTGTTGGGTTACATCATCACGTGAGCAGACCCAATTTTAAACACATTTTCCCCGTGGTGGTTATGGAGTGGTCATTAAATGAATCACATGGTCGTTTGGGAAATTCATCTTCATCCTTGGACTTCACTTCTGGGAGGTTAGCTGGGAAGTTTGCAAATCGCGACTGTGTGATTGTGAGGACGCCACAACCGTCATAAGTGTGAAACGATTGCCACGTACCCAATTTGCAATCGGGTGACCTTTGGGGATAGTTTGAAGGTTGTAACTCTGAGGACAAGTCACTTTCTTCAATACCGTTGTAAGTCTGAATCTTCGCTAAACAAATGGCCGCAAGTCGAGAACAACCTGAAATGGCCAGAAGGCCAAACCACACAGTCCCAAATGACACAACACCACACAAGGCAATTCTATGCAATCCAGGTAGTCCTCGACTTACAACCGTTCATTTAGTGACTGTTCAAAGTTACAACAGGACCGAAAAATGTGACTTACGACCATTTTTCACACATGACCGTTGAAAAATCTCCATGGACAGGCGATCAACATTCAGACAGGCTCATATTTATGACGGTCGCACTGAAGATTCACTTAACAACTATCCTGGTTAGCGACGGAAACTTTGGGCTCAACCGCGGTCGTAATTTGAGGACTGTAAACGGTGTCACCCTGCAGAGACCTCCTCCCCTATCCAAAGCTACGACAAGGTGTTCCAGACGTCTGAATTGATCTGGAGTGATTTTGCAAACGGCCACGGCTCTTTTGAGAGCATGAATTGAATTAAGGAATCGATTGCAAGCCGCTGGAAGAAAGAAAATGGGTTGTTATTTTCTTTCCCTTTAAAAATAAAAAAGACACAGAAGGAGACTTTACAGTGTTCTGGTTCTGTTTTAGAGAGTTTGCAGCGTTTTAAAAGCTTTCCCTGCTTACGGTCTTATTCTAAGCCAGCTTTGGCCAGAGGTACCGTTTCCCTCCCGCCCCCGAAAATAAGACCCTGTCTTATATTTTTTTGAACCCTGAAATAAACGCTTGGCCTTTTTTTAGGGGGGGGTCTTCTTAATTTGGGGCTCGTGGAGCAAGACGGGGCTCCTCCTGCCGTCTTACCTGATTTCCAGCTGGAGCTGCAGGTTGCTGATTCCTGCTCTAAGCAAAGGAAATAGTAGGGACCAGCTGTGCATGCAGTTAAATATTTTTGGGGATGGCTTATTTTCAGGAAGGGTTTATTTTTGGGGGCTTATTTTAGTCCAAAGCCAGATTGGGTTTATTATCAGGGGAATGTCTTATTTTCGGGAAAACACGGTGGGTAGTGCGAACTAACTATGTTCAACCCTCAAATCAATCTTTTTAAAAATCGAATGTCAGCTCTGAAAAAACTGAGCAAATTTAATATTTTGGGGAGAGAGGTATGGATTGGGAAGGGCTGCAGAGAGTCCTCGGTTTACGACTGTAATTGGAAGCAGAATTTCCATTGCTAAGCACCACGGTTGTTAAATGAGTTGTATTCAATTTTATCACCTTTTTTTTTCCCTGCAGTTAAGCAAATCGCTTCCGTTGTTAAATGAATCATGTGGTCATTAAGCAAGTCTGGCTTCTCCCTCCCCCTCCCCCCTTGACTTTTGCTTGTCCGAAGCCGGCTGCGAAAGTCACAAAGGGGGAATCACTTGAACCTGGGACCCTGCAAACCGTCGTAAATAAAAGCGCCCCGAATTTTGATCGCAATACTGCGGAAATGCCAAAAACAGTCATGAGCACATAATTCGCTTTTTTATTTTCAGTGCCCTTGTAACTTCAAACGGCCACTAAACAAATTGTTGTAAGTTGAGGACTATCTGGATTGAAAAAAGATAATATTATGGCATAGCTTGGCGTCTGCACCCCTTGTGAATTTAGACCGGGGGCTCAATCTTCATTGTTTCGCTTCAGTGAAATAAGTTCATCGGGATTTCGAAACTTTAAATAAGTTTTATCAAAATGAGACTTTGTGCTTGGAAAAAAAAAAAAATCTGGCTCTCTCCCGCAGCTGAGACAGCAAACCAAAAATACACACGGCGACAGTCAGAGTGCCAAGATTTTGCTGCAAAGCTGGAAAAGAAACGCCTAATTATCGATGCATGACTTTTGCAAGATGCCAAATTTGCATGCTTTTTTTGAATTTCAAAAAAAAAAAATGTGACACATTAAATACCAATTTTCTGTCTCTCTCTCTCTCTGTATCTCTCTCTCTTTCTCTGTCTTTCTCTGTCTTTCTCTGTCTCTGTCTCTGTCTCCTCTCTGGCCTAAATCAAAGAGAAATATTTTAAGCTTTCCAGTCAAACATTACCAGCCTGGGAACTAAATATTTAGCCTGTGGTCCACTCTGGCACAAACACCTCTGGGGCGATTGCATTGGTGCCTTACTGAAAAATTCAAAGCAGGCTTGCAATCAAACAAGGCCAGTTGCAAATTTATAATTCAGAAGGCTAATGAACAATGCAGCCCTGTCCTTTCCAGATGCGTTTTCAATTATATTCAGTTTTTTTTTCCCTCTTGGCTCTGCTCTAATGGTTTTAATGCTTAAAACTTCCCACTGTTCCGGTTAAACATTAAAAAAGGCCAACGGTGAGAAATGAGAAACGAGTCACCTATTCCAGCTTCAGATTTTAACTCCTATGACGTCCTGGGTGATTCCACAGAAGGAACGAAAAAAAATCTACATACCGGTAGAGTCCTTGACTTACGACGACAATTGAGACCATCTTATATTCTGCCATGGTGCCTTGAACACTGACAAATGCCGATATCTGCCTTATCTCAGGTTCTCGGGGTGGACTAAATACTGTGTAGATGGACAAAATCCAGTCTAAACCTCAGGCTGTGAGATGAACCACGATAGTAATGTATTATTTGAGCACTTCAACACCATTGGAATTGACAAGAGTCCCCTCAATCAATTGCAAAAGGCAGCCTGCCTGGGAACAGCTGACATCCTGCAACCATACCTTTAAACGCCATCAAACCACAACATCTGCGTTGTCCTTGGGAAGGACTCAATGGGTAGACAAAATGGCCAAATCCAGTGTAAACATCGGCCTGACTGTACAACCAACATTAATAGTTATTTAAACTTGTCTACCGCCCAGTTTTCAACGATGAAAGTGACTCACATCAATCAGATAAATGCTAGAGGTTCTTTGGGAGCAGCCAAGGAGAAAGAAGGTGCGACATAACACAATAATAGCAATCTCTAGGCTGCATAAACAGAGGGATAGAATCAAGATCATGTGAAGGGTTGATACCACTTTATAAGGCCTTGGTAAGGCCACACTTGGAATCCTGCATCCAGTTTTGGTCGCCACGATGTCAAAAAGATGTGGAGACTCTAGAAAGAGTGCAGAGAAGAGCAACAAAGATGATAAGGGGACTGGAGGCTAAAACATATGAAGAACGGTTGTAGGAACTGGGTTTGGCTGGTTTAATGAAAAGAAGGACTAGGGGAGACATGATAGCAGTCTTCCAATATCTCAGGGGCTGCCCCAAAGAAGAGGGAGTCAAGCTATTCTCCAGAGGGTAGGACAAGAAGCAATGGGTGGAAACTCATCAAGGAGAGAAGCAACCTAGAACTAAGGAGAAATTTCCTGACAGGGAGAACAATGAATCAGTGGAACAACTGGCCTCCAGAAATTGTGAATGCTCCAACACTGGAAGTTTTTAAGAAGAGGTTGGATAACCATTGGTCTGAAATGATGTAGGGTTCCCTCATTAAGCAGGGGGTTAGACTAGAAGACCTCCAAGGTCCCTTCCAACTCTACTATTCTATTCTATTCTATTCTATTCTATTCTATTCTATTCTGTTCCGTTCCGTTCCGTTCCGTTCCATTCCATTCCATTCCATTCCACTCAACTCCATTCTTCTACCACTTTCAATAGTAAAATCAGCTCTAAAGCAATCAAAGGAAAGGTGTAACGATTCTGTGGAAGTGGGTCATAAACGGCCAAACTGCAATTTAATCAGTTGTCAGTAAAAAAAAAACAAAAAAAAACACGTCCCCTCTTGCTGAATCTCCCCCCCCCCAAAAAAATGAACCATTCAAAAGAAATACGAAACACTCTTGTCTGATGAACTGGAGGGATCAAATCGACAATAATTCAGCGGCTGGAATTCTTAGATCCCTCCCATGTTCATCTCCGTAAATCTAGTTAAAGAAGACTCCGAGCGATCTCATTTGAAAGAATTAATTTTGCCAACATGCCTCATGAGATGTTCTCACGCACCTTGAGGCTAAGGTTAAAAAATTAAAAAGCTGCTTTTGTGCAAGAGGGAACCCAAAAAAAATCTTTTGAGGATTCACTCCACGGATTTCAACCAATCCAATTTTCTTCCGATTCTCCCGGCATTGCAGAACTAGGTTGAACCGTGCACCAAACCACAAGTTACTGCTGCTAGTTAGCTTCAGTGTGGCTGGCTTTTTGCCAGTGAGTGTGAATTTGGAAGCCAGACAATTTGTTCAGCTTATGATTTTGTGCATCAAGAGATTCTCCCCAAAATAGCTTCATGAGCAATCGGCTTATTGCTTTCAATTAATGTTGGCGTGTCCAACTAATTAACAGAAGAAAAGCTACAGATTTATTCAAACGGTATTAAAATGTACGTAACTTGCTGAGTAAACAGAGAATGAGTTTGTGCTACATTGCTCGGCTGGGCAGGTTTTTGGCTCGCAAAAACGTGGATGAGTCAGGGATAAGGAACTTAGATGGTAAGTTTCCAGCTCTCTCAGGAAAAAAAAAACAACCACAC